GGGGGGGGGGGAAGGCTTCTCGGAAGCACCCCTGCTCCTTAGAAAATGCGGGCCTTGTCGATAGATGTAAGGCCGGCGCCTTCTAAGAAGCAGCCTCCTTCCGAGAAGCGCCCCCCCCTCCCTCCACCCCCTGGCGCGCGCCGCCGACATGAAGGACCCCCAGAGGCCGACAAGACGGCGAAAGACCTCCCGCCGCGAGTGGTTCCGCAGCGCGAGGGGGTCTCTTGACGAACGATCAACACACACCCATACCCATAGGGGGGTCGTGGAGAGGAGGACCGGCTACGGGTATGGGTGCGGGTTGTCGGACCCTGAGGGGAACGCTCCCGTTCGAGCGGGGACCCCCATGCGACAGCACGCACCCATAGCCCCCTCCGACGCCCATATGGGTATGGGTGTGTGTTGCTGGTTCGTCATCTCCTGGCGGCGCGCACCAGGGGGTGGGGGGTGGGGGGGGGGCTTCTTGAAGCAGGGTGCTTCTAAGAAGCCCTCCCCCCTCCCCCCACCCCCCTCTGCGCGTGGCCAGATCTCTGGGCTGGGCGCCCGGCTCCTCGGGGGGGCACCCGCGCCCCGCGCGAGCTGCTCTCCCCCCCCCCGGGCGCCGGCCAGGCGTCGGCCGCCAGGGGCTGCCGCCGGGGCGGGCGCCGTCCTGGGAGGCCCCGCGGGGCGAGACGCGGGCGCCTCGGAGCCTCGCCGCGCCGCCCTGGCCGCCCCTCCCTCCTCCCTCCCTCCCTCCCTTTTCCCCTCCTCCCTCCCTCCTCCTCTTTTTCCCTCCCTCCCTCCCCCCCTCCCCCCCTCCCTCCCCTCCTCCCTCCCCCCTCCCTCACGCCCCTCCCTCCCTCCCTCCCTCCTCCTCCTCTTTTCCCCTCCCTCCCTCCTCCTCTTTTCCACCTCCTCCTCGTCCTCATCCTCGTCCTCGCCGCCACCGCCGCCGCCGCGTCCCTCAACGTGCCCGCGCTTCGAGGCTCGGAGCTCTCTCGGAGGCCGGAGCGCTCTCCGGCGTTCTCGTCGGTGCTCGGCGGTGTATACAGCCTCGGAGCGCTCGCTGGCAGCTGCGGCTCGCCGCGAGAGAGTTCCATGCGTACCCAAATCGTCCCGAGCGGCCGCCAGAGACCGGCGGTATGACGCGAAAACCAGGCGCGCTCGCGTCGTGAACAAGTCACGACGGGAGTTCTTGTGTCGTCGTGGTCGTCGTCGTCGCCGTCGCCGCCGTCGTCGTGTATGCCGTCGTCGTGGCCGTGGTCGTCCTCGTGCTCGTCGACGTCCTGGATGGGGGGGAGGGAGAGGTCGGGAAGAGGAGACGAAGAAGGAGAATCAGGAGGAGATGGACGAGGGGGATGCAGAAGGAGAGGGGGAGGAGGAGGAGGAGGAGGAGGAGGAGGAGGAGGAGGAGGAGGAGGAGGAGGAGGAGGAGGAGGAAGAGGAGGAGGAGAGGAGGAGGAGAGGATGATGATGATGAGGAGGAGGAGGAGGAGGAGCAGGAGGAGGAGGAGGGGGAGGAGGAGGAGGAGGAGGAGGAGGAGGAGCAGGCGGATGAGGAGGAGGAGAAGGAGGATTATATAACAGGATGAGGAGGAGGAGGTGGAGAAGGAGGAGGAGGAGGAAGAGGAGGAGGACGAGGAGAGAGCAGGAGGAGGAGGAGGAAGAGGAGGAGTAGGAGGAGGAGGAGGAGGAGGAGGAAGAGAGAGCAGGAGGAATAGGAATGGAGAGCAGGAGTAGGGAGAAGAGAGCAGGAGTTCGAGGCGGAGGGCAAATGGAGGGGTGAGTAGGGCAGCAGCGACGAGGAAGGAAGGAAACAATGAAGGAGAGGGAGGGGTGACGATGAGGAGAAGGGGATGGGCCTGCACGATGAGACATCTGCCCGTTTCGAGATGCGCATCAACGCTCGATCTATTGGAGATTTGGCAAGACGGCGTTATAAACCATGCCCTTCATCCATTACCTGGCATGGGGGTTAGAAGCGTGCGCGCTGTGCCAAAGCGAGAACACGATTTTGGAGAGGAGGCGCCCTCCATCCACGTGCGTCGTTATTGGGCAAGTTATCCGTTGTTGCCATGGCACGAACAGAGCGAACCTGGTGGCAGCGGCGAAGGGCACGAGGCCCCAGGGCAAAGTTGAGGCCCCAGCAGCGGACCGATGTCATATGTTGCGGGGAGGGAAGACCGAGACCGGGACAGAAAGGGTCAGCCCGCACAGGGTCGTGTCGTGTCGACGGAACGATCTGGCGATCGAAGAGCCGCCAGTCGTTCAAGGTTCGTCCTTCCCTCTCTCCTTCCTGCTCGCCCCTCCTTCCTTCCTTCCTTCCCTCCTTCCTTCCCTCCTTCCTTCCCTCCCTCCCTCCTTCCTTCCCTCCTTCCCTCAAGACTCCACGATCCACGCGGCGCCAGAGAGGACCGACGCCGCAGTCGCCGCGACGCGAGCCGGCAGCCGGGCCCTCCCGCCGGGGTGCGCCGCAGCCCTGCCTGGGGCCGCAGGGCTCTCCGAGCGCGAGGCGGCGCCGAGCGCGGCGTGGGCGCCGCCCCTGCGGCAGCACCTGCGGGTGGCGGGGGCGGCTGCCCACGGGCAGGCCCTGAGGGGCCAGCTGTCCACCACCACTGCCACAGGCAGGACGGGGGAGAGGGGAGGATGGGGCGGTCCTCCTCCTCCTCCTCCTCCTTCTCCTCCTCCTCCTCCTCCTCCTCCTCCTCCTCCTCCTCCTCCTCTTTCTTTTTCCTCCTCCTCCTCCTCCTCCTCTCCTCCTCCTCCTCCTCCTCCTCCTCCCTCCTCCTCCTCCTCCTCCTCCTCCTCCTCCTCCTCCTCCTCCCTCTCCTGTCTATGGTAGCGGTGGTGGACAATCGGCCCAGCAGGCCCGCCGGTCGGGCGTTGGCTGTGGCCTTCCCGCAGTGCACCGCCGCGCCAATCAAACATTCGCCCGCCGTCCGGGAGATGCAGAGCCTGGGCGCCCCGAGCCAGACCGAGGCCGTCCTGGCGCCCGGCCGAAGCACGTTTCTGCGCCGGCGGCGAGGCGGAGGCGTGCTGCACCATGCGGGAAGCGATGCGCAGCGTTGGCGATGGCTGTTGCGCTGGACCGGGCAGAGGCACGACCCCCTGCTGTCGGGGGCGGCAAAGAGGGGGGTGATGACTAGGGGCGGTGGATATCATGGCGTGGGCCATGATATTTCCCCAGATTTCATGGCGCCTCTTCTTATTTCATTACGTCCCTGGCCCCCCCGCTGGGCCGCGCACATGCCGCCTGTCATGATTTGCACACACCCCTCTTGGACACCCCCCTCTTGGCCGCTCCCGATGCTGCGCTTGCACTGCCCGCGCTGCTGCGCCCTCGCTCGACTCCACCTCTCTACCGATCGGCCCGACCAGCAGAGAGCCGCACGGCAATGGCTTTGCCCAGGATTGGCGCTAAGTTTTGTGCTTGCTTGCAGGGGAAGCCATCCTGCACCACCGACTAGCACCAGGCACAGGAGCCTCGCGAGGCCAATCCGTGATGAAAGAAGCGCTCTCGAGGGCGAATCCCAGTTGCTTGGCGCACCGAGGACTTGCCTGGGGGCTGACTAGCCGAGAGACGAAGGCTGCCGCGGAGCAGCGGTATCCGCTTGCTGCCGCGGGCGGCCAATTGACATGAGGCACTTTAGCTACGGAGAGTTCGGAGGGAGGAAGAGGGAGGAAGAGGACGAGGACGAGGAGGAGGAGGTTCAGGAGCAGGAGCAGGAGCAGGAGGATGAGCAGGAGAGATCGTGGAGCGGAATGAGGAGGAGGAGGAGGAGGAGGAGGAGGAGGAGGAGGAGGAGGAGGAGGAGGGGGAGGAGGAGGAGGAGGAGGAGGAGGAGGCCAAGTGACCTCCGACCCTTGGACCTCGGCGGGCCCTCCCCCGACCGTGGCCCCGAGCGGAGCAGCGGCAGAGAGAGGGCACGCCGCGGTCCGAGGTGGGACCTGTCCGACTCGGAGGAGGACGCCGCCGCAGCCGCCTGTGCCCGCTCTGCGGCGGCGCCGCCGCCGCCTCCCCTGACATTTTCCGTCGCGGCGCGGCAGAGGCAATCCCTGTTGGCTTGCTTTCCACGGCCCACCACCATGGGTGGGAGGGGGAGGGGGCCCCCCTCCTCTTCCTCCGCCTCCTCATCCTCTACCTCCTTCCCCCCTCCACCTTATGGTGGTGGTGGTGGAAAACAGGCCCATCCGATCCGCGCGGGCGCTCGAGTCGTCGGGGGTCGCTCGACAAACTCATTGTCCGGCAGCGACGGGGGGGGGGCGCGAGGAGGAGACGCCTCCGCGGAGGACAGGAGGGAGGGCTACAGGACTCCCGCGGCTGAGGGGACGCTGCAGGACGAGCGCGCCAGGGCGGCTAGCCGCGGGACCTGGTTTCCCAGACGTGCGGCGTCTTGAGCTTTTCAAAACTAGGGTCAGAGGCGACGAGAGGGGCGAATAGCCCAGGGGAGGGCAATGCATGTTTCCAGGGGCGCCGATGAGATGTGTCTTCGCCAAGGCTCCTGGGCGAATGCGTGTAATGCCCGCCCCTGGGCTAGTCGCCCCTATCGTCGCCGCCGAGAGTGGAAGGAACGGTGACAGAAACATACAAACTCGGAGGTCCGCGCTGGCTTCTCGGATCGGCGCTGTGGCCCCCCCGGCGGCGTCTCTGGCGCCGCCCCTGGCGCGCTCCGCGCGCCAGGGAGGGGGGTCCAGCGCCGATCCGAGAAATCCGCGCAGACCCCAGAGTTTTTATATTCATGTCTTTGTTCGTTCCCTTACATACGGCCCCCCAGAAGTCAAGACCCTCTCCCCGGGGGCCGCTTCTTCGTCCCGGGTCGTATTTGGACGGACGGCCCCTCTGCGCCTGGTGAGGGCCTCCGGAGAGGCCAAAAGCGCGGCGAAAACGGATCCCCTCGTGTTTCTTTTTTGGTGCGACGCGAGCCTGTTTGGGTTTGCCTTCGCCTTCTCCCCCCGACGCCTGTGCCGCCCGCGCCTGCGGCCGCCGTTGCCGAACTCGGAGGGCGAACGCCGCGCCGCCGCCGCCGCCGCCTGCGCTCGCTTCCCGCCTCGGGCGGGCGGCGGGAGGGGCTCGACGGCCCCCGAGGGGGCCCTAAGCAGGGCACCCTGCCTCTGAGGCCCAGGCGTTGCCTTGCTTCGCGCCGGGCGCTCGCGCTTCCCTGTGCAGCGGAAACCCCTGCCAAGAAGTACCTTGCTTGCCTCCAGGGTGCCTTGGGCTTCTTGGGGTTCGATGGTTTTGCGATAGAGCCCGCGACGCTCCCATACCAAGAACCAATATGCGTCCTGGGGTCTCAGGGTTGGGTTTCTTGTGGAAGGTCTCTTGTGGTCGAGCTCCTACTGTAGGCACACCCAGTACAGTCGAGCATCTGCTTAAGAAACCTCCTCCCAGAAAGCTGGGGCAGCGTTTCTTGACCAACTCGCCAGAACGCTGGCCCAGGTTCCTGAGCCCGATCGTCCCTCTAGCGCTAGCTGACAACAGAACTCGGCCTAGGCCCGTTTCGAGAAACTGCCTTGGATGCGGCCCAGAGTTCTTGACTCGGAATTTCTTGGCCACATTTTCAGCTGCAGGAGATCGGCTTGCCAGCAGGTGCCACCAGTTGCGCCGCGGGCTGCCGCCACCGCACCCGGGGCGGGCGCCATGGGACCGCCCTGGGGGGGCCCGGGATGGCAGGGCGGAGGCGGCGCGGCCCGAGGGGGGAGGGGGGGCGCGCCCTGGGGTGGGGAGTGGCCCACTGGACCCGGTTGCCCAGGCTTTCGTTTTTTGGGGGCGTCCTCTTTCTGTGCTGGCCCCTCACGAGAGCCGCACGAGGGCCCCTCGACCTCCTCTTCGGGGCCCCCGTCCGTTCCTCCCCCCCTTTGTGCCCCGCCGGCCCCGCCGCCACACACCGGCCCATGTTTTCCGGATGGACCCCCTCTTGCGGTGCCCTGCGGCGCCCGCAGGGGGGGGCCACGGGCTACGCCAACAAGCTGGGTCAACAGCCGCGAACGAGCGAGCGAGGAGGAGCCCGCAACGGAGCCTCCTCCTCGGCAAGCCCTCTCGAGGCGCCGCGGGCGCCCTCCCGGCCTCCAGGCGCCCCCCCCCCCCTCGAGCCTGCCGAGGGGCGCCCCCCCCCGCTTGGCCTCCTTTCGGCGCCCTCTTGAACGACGACGACGACGACGACGACGACGACGACGACGACGATGACGACGACGACGACGACGACGACGACGACGACGACGACGACGACGACGACGACGACGACGACGACGACGACGGCGGCAGCGGCGGCGGCGGCGGCGGCGGCGGCTGCGGCGATGACGACCGCCGGCCGGCGCCCGTCAGGACACCGCTGCCGCGGGCGCCGCGGGTCCGGGTCGGCTGTTCCCCGCCTGCAGGCGGCCGCGGCGCGGTGGGGGGGTCGGGAGGGTCAAGTGGCGGCGAGGCGTCCCGACCTGCCTTGGAGGCCCACCACCAAAGTTTTTTGAGAAGCTTCCGTGGTGTGCACGAGGTGTTCTTATAACATATCTGGCTGAGACGGAGCTGTTTCTCTGCACGAACGAGATGGGTACGGAAAGAATGGGTACAATGCCCAACATATTTCCTGTTCATGTTGCACAGGACTCGCTGTCCGCGCCGCCGCGGCCTGTGTACATTTGAGACGGAAGGCCGCCCGCCCAACAGCGGCCGTTGTTGGTTTGGGACAACATTTGCTGTTGGGCATTGTACCCATTGTTTCCGTACCCGTTTCGGGCGTCCAAAGTTTCAACGCGCCACCTCTCTATGCCACAAGAGCCATGTGCTAGTTTCAGAGCTTCCTTTTGGTTCAGGGAGCATGTCGTGGTGGGCACATAAGACTGCTGGGGCGGCCGGTCCCTGCACAATGCGAGAGGCGGGGGAGGGCGTCGGCCGGTGCGGGCGGCGCGCACCCGTGACTTTTGCAGGAGCTCCCGTGAGCGCGGGGTATAGGTGGCCGAGCGGGCGGGGGGCAGGCTGCACGGGCGGCAGCGGGAGCACGAGCAGCTGGCGACGCTTCCGTCGACCTCGCTGACCGGGGCGACGACGACGACGACGTCGACGACGACGACGACGACGACGACGACGACGACGACGACGACGAAGATGGCGTCGACCATGGCGGCGGCGATGATGACGACGACAACGACGACGGTGGCGACGACGACGTTGCCGACGGCGGTAGCGATGACGACGACGGCGACGGCGATGTCGGCGGCGACAACGATGACGAGCCCCGGGAAGGCCATGGCCAAGTGTGGCGAGAGGGGGGCGGCCTCCTCAGGAACCTAGAGGGTGTCGGAGAAGGCAGGGCGCTTCTCGGGGGCCTCCCCGGTCTCCACGGGGATTTCCACGGAGCCCCCAGGCCCTACCAAGTAGGCTCAGGTCGGGCCTGTCCCTCTACAGGAGGCATCTTCAGAATTAGTCCAACAAATTGTCAGGGGACGATCGTTTGGGTATTCTTGGGCATGTTTTGAATGTTGGTAGGGTATGTTTTCAAGCATCTTTCATCCGAAATCCACCTGTAACCATAGAAGGGCTAACTGCGATGTAGGTAACGGCGATGTAGGTTTCGGTATTGTGAGAACGCGTTGTTCGCGCTGTGCTACACTTCGCTGTGTCGTGCTCGCTCGATCCATTCGCAGGTAGGGAAGTGTGGTTCGTGATCTCCTACATTTTGGTATCCAACATCACCGTTAAGCAACATCGCCGTTAGCCCAGCCTTGGTGTAAAGGGGCAGGCACGATTCAAGAGTAGGCACCTGCCTTCCAACACCCGCCGTCTCAGAAGCCCCCCCTGCCCTCGCGCCGCCCTTCTGCGCGCGCCGCCAATGCTGCCCCGGACCTCCAGGGTTAAGTCGGGCCTGTCCCTCTACAGGACGAATATTCAAAAACAGTAGAAACAAATAGTCTGTGGACGACATTTTGATTTTTTTGTTTTGCCATTTGGGGGTATTGTTTTACCTTTTTTATTTTGTCGTCCAAGAATCCCCCTGCAGGAGGACAGGCCCGACTTAGCTCCAGGGTCGAGGCGCAGGGCTCGAGGGCCGAGCGCTCCAGGAGTTATAGGTGTCTCGTCGCCGCGGCTGGGTCCGCCTCGAGACTCTCGTCGAGGCGCGTCCCAGGCGATCCTGTGGCCCGAAGCTCAGACCTCAGGCGTCCTGAAACAATCCAGACGGAGGTTGTTCATAGTTTTCGGTTCGGGGCCTAAGAGACGGAGGTCAGTGCAAACGGGGGTCAGCCAGAGCGCCAGATCCTGCAGGATCCTGCGAAGACCCCCTCTAGCTGACCCGGGTTAGCGAGCCGCTCGTGGCCGCGAGGCGGCCGCGCATATTGGCTGACCCGTGTTTGCGAAGACCTGCGTTGCAGTTTTTTTGTTCCTGCATTGCAGTTATTGGTTTCCTGCTGACCCGGGTCTGGATTGACCCGGGTCAGAAGATCCCCGATCGGTTAGGTGGCCATTTTCCAGCCTCCCGGGGCTACAGCTACAGCATCCCAAACCGAGCTGGGGCGAAAGGCGCCACTGGGCAGGGGTTCGGGAGTCGCGCCCCGGAAAGACGTGAACTTGGCGCGATTTTCATTGGGAGAACGTTTCCTGTCGCGTGCGTGGCACAGCTCAGCAGGCTTGGCGTTGCCTGGCATTGCTCCGACCTGCGTGGCATCACTTTGCATGGCGTGGCAGTGCCCTGCATTGCTCGGCATGTCCCCGGGCTGCTTGACATTGCGCTGCGAGGCAGCAAGGAATCAAGACCAAGGAACCAATGCACCAAGGAACTAAGGAGCCAGGACCACTGAGCCAAGGAACCAAGGCCAAGGAACCCGAGGAAGACAGCAAGGATTCGTATTGGGGAACCCTCAGAAATAATCCTACGTAAAGAACCCACTTCAAGGAATCCTCAATCGGGAATCCGAGTAAATTCATAGGAACGACCGTTCAGGAAGTAATCATTATGAAGGAACCCAGAGAAAGGGTTCATTGGCAGAGGCCCATTAGAAAGGAAACCGAGATCAGAAGTCCTCCCTGGGAATTCTTATCAAAGAATCATTCCCGAGGAACCCTCCGTAAGAAGCCGCCATTGATGAGGAATATGTTGTGAGGAGCCCTTCGTAATATTCTTGGTGGTAAAAATTCATTCGCCATAGGGTCCTTTACTTGGAATCCGTGCGCAAGGAACCCTGAACCAGGATAATTTCATTGAGATCTTTAAGGATGACCCCCTTTGTGAGGGATCCTGACCAGCATAGGTAGTGAGGATTTCTGAATACGCAACCATTTTGTAAGGAATCCTTCGTAAAGCAAAATACACACTAAGCAGCCTTTAGTGAGGAACGCCCACTGAGGAATCCTGGATAAGGAATTATGTGTAGGGTCTGCATAGGGAGATCCTCAAATTGAACCCGCACGAAGGAATTCTTAGCAAGGTATCCTTCATAAGGATCCCTCAGGAAGGAAGCCATATTACGGTTTCCATGTTTAGAAATATTGGGTGAGGTTTTCCGATTGAGAAGCCCATGGTAAATAATCTGTGGTAAGTTGCCATGAAGAGTAAGGAATCGATAATACTGACCCCTTGATAAGGAATCCTTGGCCACGAGTCCTTCGGAAGGCTTCCCGAAGGGGGAACCGTTATCCAGGAACCGCTAGAAAGGAAACCTTAGCACGGAATCCTTCATGACGGATCTTTTAACTCGAATCAGCATTAAGGAATAGTCGGTAAGGCACCCTGAGTTAGGAGTCGTTCGTACGGAGTCTTGAGCAAGGAACCGTTCGGAAGGAATATGTGGTGTGGACTCGTTAGTAAGGAATCTATATATCTATATATACATGTTGAGCATAGCCCTTGATAAAGGCGCCTTTTCGTGCGGAATCCTCAGGCTAGGATCCCCACTGCGGAACCCTGAGTAAGAAAACTGGAGCAAGGATTTCTCAGTAAGAAGCCTGTGGTGAGGACCCCATTTTAGTAAGGCGCCCTTACTGAGGAATCCTGAACGGAGGGAACGTTTGTAAGACATCAGCCGTCCGGGACATTTAATGCGGAATGGAGACTTTAGTAACGACTCCTTCTTAGCATGGAATCGTTCGTAAGGCATCCGCCGTCAGGAATGCTGAATACGGAACCCTTAGTGGCGACCCGTTTGTGTGGATGTATTAATCACGTGTGAAGCATGTTCTCTTGAATACGGAACTCGTTGTAAGGATTCTTTACGACGGAATCCTGGTTAAGGAAGTTTTTTTCTTTCTCTCCTAGAAAACGAATCATTCATTTGGGATCTGCAGTAATGAGTCCTTAGTAAAGAGCCCTAAGCAAGGAACCCGCATTACGGAGCCATTCGTGGGGAACTCTTTTCGAAACCAATATTGTGAAGGCCTTACGGCCAGTGCCGCCGACCCTGAAGGTGTTGGCCGTCGACGGCGACAGGAAGGAGCTAAAGGACAACTTGACAGCCACACGCCGACAGGGTCGGCGGATTTACGATGGAATGCTGACTGGGGAACACTTCGTTAGGTACCTGACTAATGCATCCTCAGTAATTCGCCCTGAATGCGGTACATCGACAACATGCTGCATCACCTGGCGCTGACCAATCGTTCGTACGGAATCCTGAGTAAGGGAGCCTTAGTAAGGAACTCTTCGTAAGGAACCTCTCGAATGGAATATTTACTCAGGAATCCTCAGCAAGACACTCTTGGCTCCCCCTTCCGATTTGCAGATCTCTCAAAGCATGGGCCGCGGATTCGCGTTCGCAGCCATTTGGGCCTTCGGTGGAGCTCCCTATGGGGCCACGAAGCGTGTGAATGGTGTGCCGAAGCTAAGACGGTGATGGCATGCGAGCGAAGCCATTGAGGCCTTCGGTGGAGCTCCATTTGGGGCCACGAGACGTGTGTGTGAGGGGTGCGCCGACATGGGCGCGGTGATGGCATGCGAGCGCATCCACTGAGGCTTTCGGTGGAGCTCCTTTTGGGACCACGAAGCGCGCGACTGGTGTGCCGAAATAGGTGCAGTGGCGGCATGCGAGCGCACCCACGGGTGGCATTCGGTGGAGTTCGTTTTGGGACCACGAAGCGCGTGACGGGTGTGCTGGAATGGGTGCGGTGGCGTCATGCGAGCGCAGCCACTGGGGCATTCGGTGATGCTCCCTATGGGGCCACGAAACGTGTGAGGTGTGTGCCGACATGGGTGCGGTGGCATCATGCGAGCGCAGCCGCTGGGGTTTTCGGTGGAGTTCCCTGTGGGGCCACGAATTCGGAGGGAGGAGGAGGAGGGAGGAGGAGGAGGAGGAGGAGGAGGAGGAGGAGGAGGAGGAGGAGGAGGCGGAGCAGGAGGAGGAGGAGGAGGAGGAGGAGGAGGAGGAGGAGGAGGAATAGGATGATGATGAGGATGAGGAGGAGGAGGAGGAGGAGGAGGAGGAGGAGGAGGATCCTCCTCCTGCTCCGGCTCCCCCTCCTCCTCTTCTTCCTCCTTCTAACCACGAGGTGCTGGCTGCACCTGGAGCACCTGCCCGACGGCCCCGGGCGGCCCGCGGGCGCCTGGACGCTCCACGCTCGGGGCCGGTGCTTGCTCCTCGGCAGGCGGGGGTGGGCTGCCGCCTCGGGCGTCGTCGTCGTCGCCGTCGTCGCCGTCGTCGTCGTCGTCGTCACCGCCGTCGTCGCCGTCGTCGCCGTCGTCGTCGTCGCCGTCGCCGTCGTCGTCATCGCCGTCGTCGTCGTCGTCGTCGTCGTCGTCGTCGTCGTCGTCGTCGTCGTCGTCGTCGTCGTCGTCGTCGTCCCCCTTCAGGGTCGGCGGCACCAGCCGTTATGCCGTCGCAATAGAAAAAGCAATCTCGAGGAGGGTCGAGGAGCAGGCATGCTCGCTGCGTGGACAGATGGCGGCGGCAGGTCTGAGTCTATATGTTCTGCCCCCCTCTGGGGGCCCCCGCTGGACCCTCTGGGACCTGCAGGAGGCGGTTCGGGAGGAGAGAGAGGGGCCCCCGGGGAGGAGGGAGGAGGAGGAGGAGGAGGAGGAGGAGGAGGGGGAGGAGGAGGAGGAGGGAGGGGAGGAGGAGGAGGAGGAGAGGAGGAGGAGAGAGAGAGGAGGAGGAGGAGGAGGAGGAGGTGGAGGAGGAGGAGGAGGAGGGCCCCGTATCGAACAACAGCAAGTGGCACGCGTGCCCTGGCTCTTGCGCCAGGGAGCCGCGAGGAGCAGGAGGCTTTCGCCTCCTTCCTGCAGGAGTCTTCCGTGGCGAGGGGGGGGGGACGAACGACGAACGAAGGACGAGCGAAGATAAAGAGGTCCGAGCTCAAGAACACAGCTGTGCAAGAGAGTAAGGCAGCGCTGGCTTGGGGGGGGCCCAGGGGGCGACTGGCGAGGAGGGTCGAGGATCGACCCAGGCCGCCTCGCGCCAGCGTCGTGAAACTTATCCCACCCACCAGTCCACACCCGCCAGATGCGGTAGGCCTCGCGAAGCCCGAACGGAACAGCCTATGGCGCGCTCCAAGCAAGAGGCCTTGCCCTCCAGGATCGAGGGAGTTTGCGTCTCTTCCGCGGCGGAAGGGCCAGGCGTAAGTAACACGAGGCTGCCTCCGCCGGCAGCAGCCGGCGGAAGGCCAGCGGCATGCGGCGGAAGCAAAGGAGGCGCTCACCAGGGATGGAAACGTTTCTAGGCTCAGGGTTTCCGAAGTCGGCCACGGATCCCCACGCAGTGGCCCAGGGGGCTAAGTCGGCCAGTGGGGTCAAGGCCACGCCAGTGGGGATAGGGATAGGGATCGGTCATCTGGAAAAAGCGGTAATTAGCCGAGGCCAGGGCGTAGCGAAAGGGTGGTCTCTTTCGGCCCGTGTTCCGTGGACGCGCCCTTTCATAGGATAACACTATCACGGCATAGTTGAGCAGTCGCCTAGCATTAGCATAACACTACCACCTAGCATATAATAACGATGCGTTATCAGATCGTAGCGCGCCGTAGCGTTGACACACCACAGTATATCGTTCGTAAGGTGAATCATCTCCCAAGGCACCATCGTATCGCATGGCGTATATTGTAAAAACACTTGTTTGCCCATCATGTTTCGACAGAGCGCCAGCATGTCAGAGCACATAATGTCGGTCCCACTTCGTTGTACCATACGCGTAGTGTCTCACTTTGTGTTATGCCACGTTCATATCGTACCTCATCATACCACTAGGGCATCATGATATTCGCACTGTGTTGCGCTCACATGTGATAGCATGGCCAAACATGATATAGCAACGTCTGAGAGCGCGCTCCATTACAAGACCTAGCATGCAATACGGTTTGCAGCCCAGTGGTATGATATGCTCTTAACCACGCTGGACCATGCCATGGCGTGTCATTTGTTGCGCCGTGCTGCAAAGCAGCGTTGCACTGCGGATCGCACAATCTACATCTTCGCACATGACACCACACCATTGAGCGGATGGCATGGCCTGCTTAGCCACGCCGCAAGCTATGCTGCGCAATACTATGCCGTGAAGGCTACGCATTATGATGTTCCCACCTATTGCAGCCTTGATCACCCGAAATAGTTTGGAGCACCAAGAGAATACCAAAATTAGAAGGTTGTCACGTGTCGGGCCATGGGAGGCGATACTCGTTCGACTTTGTTTCTATACTTTTTCTGGATGCTAATTTTTTTGTTTCTGGGATGTGATCCTTAAGCACGATGGGGGCAACAGAAGCTATGCCGTGGTTTGCCCTGCTCTCCCCTGAAGTGCGGCGCGCGCGCGCTGTGCTGTGCTCCGCGAGCCAGGTGCCCCTTGGCATCAAAAGGAGCAGGGCCGCGCGGGCCGACGACGCGACCCACCGGCCCCTTGTGCTGCACAAAGTGCAAGGTCAAGGTCAAGCCTGTATGCTCGCGAAGGGGCGGCCGCTTAGGGCATAGACGGGTGAAAACTAGCAGACGCTCATGTGGTGAAGAAAATCGCCTGTCATACAATTCCAAGAATGTGGGTCTCTGGCTGCTACTCTCCAGGCGCCGATCCCGTACTTGCCGCAGAAACTTTGTTACATAGGCAGGAACGAGCAGGAACCTGTTGACACTGGCAGAGCCCAAGTGGGGAAACAGTGCACTTGCAAGAGATCACGTGGGACTGCACTCTGGGCCGCCCATGCAGGGTCGAAGCAGATGGGGTCGCGGGATCGCGTCGCATCGCCGACGCACCGGCGATGTGTCTCGATGCGGAGCACGTTTTTGTTCCACGTCGATTTCGCCGATGCATCCCCGACGTTGCAGATGCATCGGCGATGAATTGCGTTCCTCCGACCCCATCTGCGAATTTCCCGCCCCGTTTTGGCGGCCTCCTTGCATGGAATTGCGCGAAGCCGCAATCCCCAGTCGACTGGAAGCAGGCAGGCCCCCCGAAGGTTTCCAGGAGGACTCCAGGGGCTTGCGGAGTGCCCTCCGGAGCCTGCAGCCACGAAGGGAAGGGGGTCCTGAAGGAAAGGTGTCCACGAAGTGGTTCTCCGTTTTCGGGCTCCCAGGGCCCCTCCTTGGCCCCCGAACCGTAAAAAACAAATCCGGGAACCAAGACGAAAGTCAACCCGCAGAGTAAGGGTGGACAATTTTCCCAAGAGTACCCTTGCATCCTTGTCCCTTCGGCCCATCCTTGGCCACTTCAGCTGGCCGCTCCCCGCTCGAAAAGCCTCGAAATGGGCGTCCAAGGCCCTTGCATCCTCATCGCGCATCCTCACTATGCGGGTCGACTGCAGTCACGGGGAAAGCCGCGGGGTCAGGACTAGTCTTCATCAGGACCCCATTCGACTTGTGGCAACGAATCTTTCCATGAGCTTTCACGGGGTCTTCCCACAAGAGAGGTCCCAGAGAGACTTCATGGGGCCGCCAGCTCCTTCTGCAACCGCTTGCACGGTTCAGTGCGCGTGCCGGTCATGTCGGCAGCAGTCGCTGCCCCGCGAAGGTTCGGGTGGGTTTGTTTGGTTAGGGCGCTGGTGGGCCCCTCGCTCCCGCGGCTGGACGCGGGCGGAAAAACGCGTCAGGACACTCCCGCGCGTCGGCGGACTCAGGCGCCGCGTGAAAACGGGGCGCGTCTTTTCTATTGGGCATATGCGAGCACGTGGCGTAGGTCAAGGGGATGGGGATGGGGATGGGTCAGCAGCATCAGCAGCAGCAGCATCATCATCATCATCGTCCTGGCCGTGATCATGTTAGTGTCCATGATCCTCATCATCATAATCAGCAGCAGCAGCAGCAGCAGCGTCAACATACTTATTATCATTATCCTCCACCTCCTCCTCCTCCTCATGATCAACACCATCCTCACCTTCATCATCGTTCCTCACCATCATATGATTGCAGCCTTGGGGTCAAGGGGATTGGCTCAACCATTTCGAGTATGGCGTCGGTGCCATCGGTGTTATACAATGTTCGCTTGTGTGTGTTATGCTTGCCCTGGTTGAGACAGTTTTTCGTCGCAGCGCGAGATATCGTGTTGTTTGATTCCGTTGTCGACGACCAGGAGCCACCCGTATTTCCACTTGCCCATGTACGAGATACGTCTACGCATCCATTGCCAGGCAAGTTCCACAGGCCAGCTCGAGCAAATAACACGATTTGGCAGTTGTATCGTGCTATTGCTAGCGACGCCCTTGAGGTAGAACGTCTGGTGATATCAGTCTTCGGCGGAGGTTGCGCAACGGACGCTAGTGCAACCAGCACAGTGAATGAAACAATTGCGAAAGTTGAGGCGGCAATGGGGATGCCTTCTTTGGTGAAGTTGATGCCCATTGGGTTTAGTGTGATGTCATCTGCACGGAGATGCCTCAGTAGTCTCAGATGGGTCATTCGTACACTTGGCCTTCAAGGTTGTCCACCATCACCGCCGTTCACGAAACCTCAAGTTCGAGCGCTGGATCAGGTAATACGCACTGACTTGTTTCGCTTGCAGTATACAGTGTTCCATGCATTCGACTCATGGCTGAATATTCCCATTCCAGCTGTACGATTTCACAGCAACCTTGGCGTCTTCCACTGCGACATAATCTCGAACCTCCTCGCCAGCCTACCAGCCCATGTATCAGCATCTGATGGGTCACTTAGGGTGGTTGAGGTGGGTGTTGATACTGCAAGGAATGCAGCAATATTCTTGCAGAATGTACCCAATGTTCATTACGTCGGAATCGACCCCTATCCAGCCTGCGGTTATGACTCCGAAGAGTCTTGCGCACGAGCGGGAGCGGACAGATACGTGGAGGCTTCCCTCAGGTTATCACGATTTCATGGTCGAGCTCAGCTATTTCGAGCAACGTGCGAGGAAATTGCACCTTCGATCCTACACGGGTCTGTGCAATTTGTTTGGATAGATGGATTACATACGTACGAGCGTGTTGTCGAAGATTTCCGGTGTGTTCTACCATTTCTGCAGGTTGGAGGGTATATTGCTGGGCATGATTACGGAGGGAAGTATCCAGGAGTTTCCGATGCCGTACATGAAGTTTTCAGTTTGTGCCCACCAGCCGATGGAGTATTGAATCTAGCTCCTGATAACACGTTCTTTTGGCAGGTGGGCAGTTGTTCGCTAGAGAAGTGACATCCACGCGAGTGCGTCACTTCACTCTCACACCGCTGGTGCCCCTAAGCGAGTAGCACGAACGCAAGCGCGACATGGATTACTTTACATCGCTTGGTCGCTTGACTTCATCCCCAGAATTGCGGACTTGAGGAGTTCCCAGTACAGTTCCTCTGTGTGGGCCCCAAAACCATGCATAGTCCAGGAGTGTGCCGTCGGGCAGGCATCCGAACATGCAGACCGGGCTCCTCGACTGCTGGACAAATGTGCGGCCGTGCACTCCCCAGCGATGGAGCCTCCAGGCGAGAGGCTGCTGCCACAAGCGATCCGGACCTGCGCAGAAGTGCACGGAATGAGTGGACTCGCGGGCACCTGCATCTACAGCCAACCCACCAGCTCTAGAGCCAACTTCCGATTCTCTACCGGACAAGCCCCCGGACAGGAACCGAACAGCCCCCCGAGCAGGAGCCGAACAAACCCCCGAACAGGAACCGAACAAACTTGCGGATTTCTACCGACCAAACCTCCGGACCTCCCTGGAGAGGCCTTCTGGGGCCGCCCGGAGAGGCCTTCTGGGGCTCCAAGGGCCCCCCCCCCGCTCTCGGAGGGCCCGAAGGCGCTCCCCGCGGCAGAGCTATATCATATAGAGAAACAGCATGGCGGGCGGACGGACGTCGGTCGGACGACGGACGAAGGCGGGACCGCCCATGGGGGAGGGGACCTGGGGGTGGTCCTGGGGTGGCCCACTTTTCTTCGATGCTCGTTTCGGGGACCTTCCTGGAGCCCACCTAACGGATCTGTTCGACCCCAGTTCGACTCAAGTTCGACTCTAGTTCGACTCAAGTTCGGCTCAGGTTCGACTCAGGTTCGACTCCAGGTCGACCCAACTCGACTGACGTTCGACGCAGCTTCGACGCACGAGTGGAGCGAGTGGCTCCAGGAAGGTCCCCAGAACGAGCATCCAACTTTTCCCAAACTCCCCCCGTCGCAACCCAATTGCCCCCCCCCCTTGGCTCCGGGATCCGCTTTGGGGTCTCTGGGTGCCTCTTTCGGCCTGAGGAGGGTTCCGAGCTGGTTCAGGAGGGCGCCCGCTGGCCGCCAAGATGGCCCCTCAGTGGTCCAAGACGCTCCAAGATGTTTCAAGGCGGCCCCCAGGGGCCACAAGATGCCCCACTGGAGCTCCCAAAGGCCCTCCCAAATGACCCCAGAGAGCCATAAACGCAAAAGCCGTTCAGGTTTCTCCATGATCAGTAAATCTCACGCTCGTCTCTTTCGGATGGTTTCGGGAGATCTTCACCTGGCGCCGAGGCTCGAGACGGCCCCACGACTTTGAAGAAGAGCCCAAGAGGGTCCGAAGCGGGCCCCAAGGCTTTCATGGCAGCCCAAGCAGGAAGATCCACAAGAGACCCGTACACTTCAAGCCAGCCCTCTTCATATTCAATATCTCTCCACGCCGGCCCTGAACAGTTCGAAGCCCCCGCATAATCCCACGCAAGAGGAGGCCGTCGATAAGAACGAGAAACGACAAGCGAGGACAACCGAGAGAGATTGGAGGGTTAACGACGAAGGACGTATAAGGAGTATTGGAGGACGAGGTAAGGCAAGGCATGGAATGAGCCGGTCCGAAAAGCACGCGCAGTTAACAACGCCATGGCATGCGCTAGAACCCAAGCGCGCGCGAAGCGCGCGCGTGGTTCTAGTTGAGGATGGAAGATGGAAGGTGGAGGTGGAGGGGGGAAGTTGGAGGGGAAGGTGGAGGTGGAGGCCATGGCCGGGCAGGCGTGCGCCTTCTGCACCCAGAAGAGATGTTAGAAGCAAATGTTGTCGCGAGGCAGATACGTAGAACCAACAACAACGCATTCGTATGTTACCGTGTGCATGGTGTCCTAAAACTTGTGGTGTTGTAAAGGTAGAATGGTGCCTTGTCTCAAATATACACTATGTTCTAACATTTTGTCGATAGTTGGCTGTGCATGCGTAGTGCTGTTCAAGTTGTGGCTTGGTGTTTTAGGTATGCGTTGATGTCGTCGGTTTTTTGCCCTGTTATTTGAACTCGTGAACTTCTTGTCTAAAGTGTACATGTGTGTTGTACAGTTTGCGTACTGTTTTTCTACATTGTGCTTCAAGTGTGCATTATGTTTATCATAAAAAGATTGTGTAGCCTTTCAAAGTGTACACAATTATCTTCAAGCGTGCGTTATTCATGCATTGCCAGATTGTGCAATTTGATCTTGAAGTGTGCGCTCAGGTTCTATGTTTTGCGCACTGTTGTCATAATGCCTGCGTCTGTTGCCGTCAAGTTTGTACACCCCTGGTTGTCTGATTGATCCTGCAAGTTTCAAGTAGCATGTAAACCACCTCTGCTGTAATTCAGAGCACAACGATGGCACTCTAGAATTAGTTGCATGCTAATTATCAAGATGTTCTGGAATAGTTTCGCAGCGTCTTGCGTTCTTATCTCGCTTGTGTGCCTCGGTGTAGCACTGAGGACTTTCTATTGGATTCGTGCTGCATTCCCGTTTATCGCAAAACGTTGGTTTTGCCCCCACGGTCGCGGGCGTTTCAACTCAGAGCCCGATTTTGGAGGTTGTGCGCGAAGTTACCCGTCTTCTTTAAACATGTTTCTCGTGGTGAGTACACTGTAATGCAGGGAGAGATCTCACGTATGTGTTTAGTTTAGCATCTGCACAGCAATAATTAATCGAGCAACCGTGCTGTTGATGAAATTGTGTTGGGAAACATTTATTTTTCCAGGTAATTACTGTTCTTTGGCTTGCTCTCTAGAATTGCGTAAAAAAAACTGCAGGAACAGTACTTGATTGAGCACTCTTAGTGTTCAGCGACGTTTAGTGTTTAGCAATCCTTGAATGTTTGTGCGAATCGGTTGCGATGCGCGTATTTGTTGCCGTGCGCTGGTTTGTTCAAAGTTCCAGACTTATCATTGCAAGTTGAGGGTTTTCTGTTTGGTCGGGAGGTTGTTCGGCACAGCTTCGCGGGCTTGTTTACGGTGGAAACTTCAGAGATGTGCGATTCATTTGTTCAGGAAGTTGTTCGGCACAAGTTCGCGGGTTCGTTCGCGGCAAAAGATTCGATGATTTGTTCTTTTCATTCCTTCGGGAAACTGTTCGGCAGAAGTTCGCGGGTTTGCCGCATCGTTGCACCTGCCTCTGATGACGGCGGGACGAGTGACGGTGGTACATTTTCGCAGGGGCAGGGATGCCTACAGCCAAGACGCCGAGATGACTCGGGCTCAGAAGGTGTTCTGGCTTTTGGGCCGCTCCTCCAGTGTGGGACGGGGAGTATGTTCGTTGCCTGAGAGCCCTTTTGTCCCTTCTCTGGCGTTCCGTTGGGTGGCACGATTGTTGTATGACAGCGACGACACGCTCCTTTCTCTCGGAGTGCAAAGAATATGACATAAACATACACTTGTGTAAGTCCGCGCGGATTTCTCAGATCGGCGCGCCAGGGGTGGTGCCGGAGGCGCCGCAAGGCAAGCGCCGATCCGAGAA